ATTTAATAATTGTTAATGGCTTTTTTGTGTATAGTTCTATGATATAAGTACTAAAATACCTGTTGCTTTATGTAATGAATAAAGCATTGAATTGTCATAGTTATTTTATGACCATCTCCCATATCTTATAAATGTTTTTCAAACTAATAATTCGTACTTATTTGTTCCTTAGGTTGATAATGATTTAAAAAAAGAAAATGCAGACCGTTTGTTAAAACAAGCWCTTGATTTTGATAAACCTGGGGAAGGACAACACTATTGTATACATTGCGCGTGAGTACCATATTCTTAACAGATAAGTACGTACCGAGTTATTATTATTTCATAACTAATTTCAATTCAATTTTTTTAGACGTTACTTTTTAAGTGATCAAGTCCTACAAGATCATTTTCGTACAAAATTGCACAAGAAACGGATTAAAGAACTTAGACTTGAACCATACACTATTGAAGAGGCCGAAAGAGCGGCTGGTTTTGGAAGTTACATAGCTCCAAAAGAAAGAGTCATTGTTACACAACCGATTAATAAAGAGGAATATAAAGAACCTGAAGAAGTTGCTGATATTTGTTCATTAAATATAGATTTACAATGATTAAAAAATTGTTTTCTATTAATTCCCTTTTAAAGGTAACTAAAAAATATAGTACATCAAAACTGTATATACCGTACAATCAGACATCTGATACATATGTTGTCATTGAACCATATCTAGATCTCGATAATCGCTTAAAAAATATAAATATTTTAAAAGAAAATATTACTTTAAGGGGTTTGAATATTGATATAGATAAAATATGTGATAATTGGTCGAGTTTCATTAATGTACGAGACGAAATTGTCTGTTTAAATCTTGAAAAACAAAAACTTGCTGAACAATTAAAAAAAATCAAAAAGGATAATACTAATGAGATACACAAGCTTAAAGAAACTAGATCAAAAGTAATAACAAGATTGAAGTCGTTGAGAGATGATATTTCTGCGTTAGAAACTGAAGTGGTTATTCCTAGTCTTAGCCTTCCCAACAGCTTACATCCTGAGTGTCCTTTAACTGAGAGTAAAATTTTATTCCATCAATGTGGAAAAACAAAAATTGATAATAGTGAGTATGTAGATCATTTGAAAATTGGCTCTGCTTTGGAATGTTTGGATTTCATAAACCCTGTAATGGTTTACATTAAAGACAAAGCTTCTCTCTGTGAACAAGCAACAGTGGCTTATTTCAACGAATCTCTCGAGAAGTCTGATTTTATACCTTTTTGTAATTCAGACCTTATTAAAAGTGTAATTATTGAAGGATGTGGTGTTGATGTTGACAATGCAGACCAAACATTTATTTTAAGCGATAAAAACTTGCACTTAATTGGTGGTGCAAGTCTTCAATCTTTCTGCGCATTTTTTACCAAAATGAGTGTGGGTGGAAACAAACTGCCCCTGAGGTTGTATTCAGCTGGTCGTTCATATAAACCTCACATTAAAAACATTGGACTTTTCTCTGCTGTACAAACAAATGCTGTTGAAGTTTTTATTGGTTCAGCCGATGAACASAAATCCAAAGACCAATTTAATGAAATGTTGACTCTTTACAGACGGCTGTATGAAAATATCGGTTTAGAGTATCGCATAGCTTACTCACCAGTTTCTAGGTTAGAAAACTGGGAGAGTTTGAGGGCTCAAGTAGAACTGTATTCTGTCAGCAGTCAAGATTACGTAGAAGTTGCTTCATTATCTTTATCTGGAGATTTCATTAGCAAGCGCTTAAGAATTTACTGGTCTGGTAAAGACAAAAACAATTTTTTAAACATTGTTAATGGAAAAATGGTAGACACCAATGTACTACTAGGATGTTTATTAGAACAAAATGTTAATGAGTTMACCGTACCTGACTGTTTGAAAAATTATATGATTGTTTGAATAGTATTTATATAATTTGCTTAGCATATTGTACATRAATAAATTATTATCTAWTAATGTATGTATGTACATATAATAAAAATGTATGTCATTTTTATCCTAACTTAATTATTCTAATAGATCATAGTATAGTCATTAAATACACAATATTGTTTGGTTAAAATATTATTTAATTGCATTTGTACAATAAACTATGTTCACTGTCTTAATTTAAGACAGTGTTTTATTTGTATATATAATACTCATCTTTATTTCTTATGTAAATTTTAATACATCTATTTGATATTATTCTAATTTAACTGGAATTCAACGTAAACGAATTTTGAATATTAAWGTAATAATATATTTTGTCTTAACATTTGGACTTTAACTTTCGTACTAGCAATTTGTGTTTGTCGGGATAGTCTCATCTATATATTAAGTATATCCTCAATTCGGATTTAACGCCAGGTGATCCCCAAAGTTTGTTGTTAGCCATTCCCACAGAAAATAAGTACATTAATTTATGATGTACATGATAGTTAGTTATTTATATATTCAATCATTTAAAAATATTTATTAGTKGYAAGTATTAAATAAGTTACATTAAAATTATATCAAACATAATATACAAATGTGCAAAGAATAATGTTCAAGTAAATACAGCTTGCAACATGATATGCGGGCGCAGTGTTTGTAGCTACTTTGGCAAACCAGAATGCTCAGTGCTTCTACAGCAGCAGTCTCATATTGAACAAGTAAAAACAAACATATTTTTTGATAGCCTATATAAATATGTAAATTGGATCCCCTATTACAATAGTAGCGCCGATCCCTATACCCAAATATGGTGGGGACCAGTCTGTGTACACCAATTGATAGGTAGGTAGGATACCAGTGAATTTAGATATTTGCCATAACTTTTTTTTTTTGTTTGGCGCTGCTGGGACTAAATTCTAATATTCAGAAATCTTAAGAGGGTGCTACACCCGCAGTGTTGTTTCCGTCTTACAAGTGTATAACATAGGAAATTTACGCTCAACATTTCATTCAGTTTAAAAATATGAATTGTGATACTTGATGGTAAGAACATTATTTGTGCTTTGTTGGAAGTATTTTGACGATAATTCAGTTTTAATGTGAGTTATGATCATTTTAGCTTTATAATTTATTATACACACATAACTCAATTGAAAACTGAATTACCGCAAAAATACTTCCAACTAAACACAGATAATGTTATAACCATCAAGTTTCATAAAAAGTCAATTCACTCTCATTTTTGAGCTAACGGAGTAAAACGTGAACTGCTTAATGTAAATTTGCAATGTTAAGCGTTTGTAAGACTGAGACAACAAATRCGGGTGTGGCRYCCTCTAAAAATTCAACATTTATTGAGATTGAATATGGTACCATACAATTTTGAGACACTTTGTAATTGGTCTCTTATTCTGAATTCAGTTTAGCATACCTTAATCAATTTTCCAATCATAAATGTTCAAGGTTTTAGCATCAAAATTTCTCCATTTTAAATTTTTAACCAAAATGTATAATTTAAAAAACAAATAATTATACAGTGGCACGTAATAATTTAGCTTAATATTATAAAATGAGCTGAAATAATAGTCAAGTATAGTTAACYACTGACCCGATTAAAACCTTATTTATTATTTTAAGTAGGAAACAACAAAACATTTTAACACAAAAAAATAATGGGACATACTTTTTCTTTTTTTCTTTAATAATGGTTATCAAATAAACTATTATATTCCTCTAATAAATTTTAATTTATAATATAAAAAATATTCTTAAATAAATTTTTATTGATCTAATCAAAAAGGTCAGAACAAATTATTCACAAATATTGACTAATGCAATATCGTGTTTATGTATGCAAAATAAAGAAAAAAATGTTTCTATATTATTATATAAGTATAATGAAAAAATTAACTAAAACGGTTTTATTAAAAATGTTTTGGAATAAGGGAAGTGAGAATGACACTCCAAAAATGACTCATAAGGACTGAGGGTCTTTTAAATTAGCAAAACCACTCTTTAGTGTCTCCCTAAGTTTTAGACGTTTCTCATTCACTAACATCGCACAGACTTTGTACATCTCCACCTCCTCTGACGGTATGATGGTATCATCAACGACAATAGCATTCTTCTCCTAAGAAAAAATAAGACATCCATGTAATAAAGGTAAATCAATATTAATTTAGTATATTTCCTACTTACCAGCTCTTCTATTAACAACTGTTGAAGTGGCAATGACTTGCAGGATAATGTCCCCATATCAGAATAGCATTTAATTTTTAATGATGGTACTTCTCCTATAACAGAATTAACAAAATGATAAATTTAAAAATAAAAAAAATTAGAATTTTAATGAATTTAAGTCGCCTAAAGGGATACAACATAATTTTTGATAAATAAAATAATAGATTGCAGTGATCATTAAGATAAAAAATGTAATTTCTTGATTAAAAATGAACGTAGAGTTTAACTATACTTTGCTCTAGTGAAGAAACAATTGGCAGCTAACTTGTGTATAGAGATGTAGAAATATTAAAATGTTAAGAATTGAAGATAGTTAACTTGAAGTGGGTGACAAACGGATATTGCGTGAGTGTCATCATCAAAAATTAGCCATTGTCAACTGTGTTTCTTAACTTGAACAAGAGTATACAATAGGCTATTTTACTTATTCGATAACCAAGTATAGAGCACAAATTTAACTTTTTGAATGGTATGCCAGTATTTATTTGTACCAATCACATAATAATAAAACTAATTTGATTATATTAAACACTTTAGTATGTAATTTTATATTTATTTCATACCTACTAATAAAAATTATTAATATATTAATTGTGTTTTTTAAATAACACTGTAGTAGGCGTATACAATTAATTAAAATAAAGAACAGTATATAACTTGAAAGATTAGTATCTCAAAATACGTTTTAAATTGCTAAAAAATAAAAAAGTATGACATTAAAAAATCTCTTYTTGTTATGTTTAAAATAAATTAAATTGAAAATAGAAATATGTTAACAATTTTGATATAAAATTATCTAACTATAATACAGGGAGGGGCAGTAAAACGGCAAATTTTAAATATTGGTTCAAGATGAGAAACTCAGCAATCATGTTTGTRTTATGAGGCAGATGTTGGTATTTTCTTATAAAAGATAAGCATATATCTATAAACTTTGAAATATTGATGAGCTGAATTTAATAGAAAAACTACAAGAAATTTCCAGTTGACTTATGGAAATGATACACGGAATGTAATTTAAGAGGAAGAATTTAAGCATGTTAGAAAAATGACTGGTTATTTTTAAAAATAAACAATGTGTACTTTATTTTAATATACTATTAATTGATTTGTAATCACATAATTTTGAAAACTGGCAATTAAATTATATCACACCTGTATATTAACAATATTTGGTTAAGAGTTAAATTAATACAACTTACAATGGAATATGAGAAAATTCTATTCACCATCCTATATTACTAGAAAAATGTTCATTTAAAAAAAGGTATCTAAAAACATTTTTTACAAGTACATGATACTACTTATTAATTTCAATTAATTGGTACTTAAAATTATCCAATAAGCAATTAATTGCATTATATAAATAAATATAGCTATACATTTATTTGTATGTATTGTGAATTGCAATTCATATCCCTATTTATAACTAATTATGATGGTTMAAAAATAGGATATCCAGTCATAACAATTGAGCTCCATTTAGTATTTATTAATGAAAATATCATTGAATTACCTGAGTGGTTACAAAATCCTTCAGAGCACGCCACATCAGAACCGTCGGGTGAACTAGTGCTATTACTGTGGTTGTTATTTTCAGCAGATGCATAACCATAGTCTTGAGAATGGTCACATAATGATGGACATGAACTACAACTACCAGGTAGATCATGATTGATTACACTAGACTTACAGTCACCACCTTCTGATTGATGTTCATCTGCAGAATGACGGTCAGTCATATCTTCAATCTCAATATCATCATCCTCTTCAATCAAATCATAAACATTATTTTCTTGTACTTGAACTGGGGACTTCTTAACTTTTTTTGTGTTTTTTTTGCTATTTTTTGTCTGTTTTTTTTTATTGCGTTTTTCTTTCTCTCCACTACCTTTTTTCTTTTTTGATTTTCTGGTACCTTTAGAATTACACTCAACACAGCTACAGGGTTTAATTGGAGTTGAAACACTTTTCTTTCGGTCACCAGACAGTTTAAGCTGCTGAAAAATTAGAAATTATTCACTGTTAAAAACAAGAATTATTTTACATTACCTAGTACTAAGTAAATAAGTAAATACATACTTTTCTCACTCGTTCAACCAACTGTATGTTTTCACAAGTACATTTTGTATCAACATGATCACAGTTCTCATCAGAATCTTCTCTTTCCTAAAATGAATTACACCAATATGAGTATATGTCCAATAATAAATTTTAAATGTATAAACTCACATCAGATTGTACACCGTCATAATCATCATCTTCGTCATCAACATCATCCACAAAATCAATATCATCTTCACCAAAATCAATTTCTTCTTCGTCCACATCAACACATGAACAATCATCAGCCTATATAAATTAATATGTAATATGAATACAACCACAAATTTAAAATAAATAAATTATCAAGTTCATACTAATTCAAAAAGATAAATAATTTTTAAACAAATTGCCTTTTAATTATACATGAGTTACCTCCTAATTTGACTAAAATTGATTAATTATTCTTTTTTTGATTTAAGATTTTAAATAGGTTTGTGTATTATTGGTAAACCATATGTTTCCGTCTTACAAGTGTGTACCACAACAAACTTTACGCTCAGCAGATCACATTTAATTCCATTAGTTTAAAAATGAGAGTGAGTTGAACTCTTATAAAATTTAAAGGTATGAATATTATTTAGACGACCTCATGGATTTTTTACTGTATATTAATTTTGAAGCAAATTATAAGTATTTTATGTGATGCTATATACTTTTAAATTGCCAAAAAAAATGTAAATTTATTTTCACTAATTTCAKTATTAAGTTCTGCTAGGCTTAAAATAAACTCATAATGTTAACCACAGTAATTTTTAACAATTAATGAATTAATATTATATATAGAATACTCATCATTATTAATATAACATAAAACATCCTCCCCATGACTACTCTATAGTTATGCAGGAACTAGATTTCGTCTGATTTACAGACAGGAGAGTTAACACCAATGTAGAGTTCTTGAAAAAACTAGTGGATGGTCGTTTAGATGCTCCCTCACTTCTTGTATTGGTCAATTTCAAGGTCCCTTCTCGCACTATTCGCACCATGTCCATTCTTAATTTCTACGCACACTACCAATTATGGCAGAAATAATCCTATTGATCGCATGATGTGGCTGGTCAATGAGAGTACCATTTATCACAATATATTTTAATATTGAAATTTTTTTTTTTTTGTTCTACTTTACTATTACTATTTTATATTACCTATTATTATTACTATTAATGAATTATTATTATGTTTAAACTTTAATATGGTATCTTAATTTGATTTGTTTTGTGTTAAATTGTTGTAAAGGGCTTTGCCCCTAAATATATATAAATAAATATGTAAAACTCTTTTTTTAGTTTATTTAAAATTGTTTGTAAAATTCAAAAAATTCAAAAAATTCAATATTTTAATGTTGATATAGGTACTTGTATTGTATAATAATAAATATATTATTTATACTTACATCACAACAGATTACCATTGATATTGGTAGGGTTTCTTTTCTYTGTGATCTTTTTTGTTTCCTAAGCCGTTTTCTTTTTTGTGTCTTTTTTTCTTTTTTTGAAAATTCATTATAAAACTGATCTAACTTGGTAAATCCTTGTTTTACTTCAATGGCAGTCTACAAAACAATATATTTCATTAAGAAATCTGTTCTTCATTTAAAGAAAAATTTAATTAGAGTTATTAAATACTTCAAATCTTCTGGCAAGACCATCAATGGCCGCTGCAGCAAGAACTTGGCAAGTATATTGTTCTTCTCTAATCCTCAATTGTATTCTGTGTAATCGTTCATATACACAAATACCCAAACATGTTAAAACCTCTTCTTGAGCAATCTCGATAGTTTTGGCATGTCGTTCCCTACGACTAATATTATTTCATAAATATATTTCTAAAATATATTTCAAAAATAAGTGTACAACTTACTTTCCCATTAATTCTGGTTCAGCCCGGCTGATCAGCGCACCAATATAATTAATATCAGTATCCAAATGGACATGTTTGTCCCCGACACATCTTTTAATACCAGCATAAAGTTCTTCAATATAACCTTTTTCTTTGGACGGATCTTCTTCTTCAATAAGCAGTGCATATGCTTTCATCACTTTTGTACGGCAGTCACCACAAAATCTGATTGAAATATTCAAATTAAATTAAATGTAAATAAAATGCATATAAGAAAAAACTAAGCATATTTGAGTTATTATCAATAGTGAAACTGTTACATTTAACATAAATTATTATTAAATCTCAAAACTAATGTTTGTTTTTATTTCTGAAAATGTCAAGTCCATGTTAATTATATTTTATGTACCTATAGTTAATAAAAATTGWATGAAAACTTACAAGAAATGGATCTATTTGTTATACTTATGTTTAAGAAAAATATAATTTATGTTAAAAATTAAAGGACATTGAAATATTTTTAAGGTAGCAATCAATACCATTTTTCAAATTTTTATCAGAGAATATACTGAGTGTCCCACGAAAATTTAACCATTCCGATATCTCACAAAATAATGGAGATATCAAAATTCTGGTTTTCTAATAAGACTCACAGGGATAAGAAATACAACTAATTCATTTTAAAGTTTTGGGGAAAAAAAATAGAAAATATATTTTCTTAATAAAAAAAAAAAAAATTAAAGATAACCATTTTTTTGAGTATAT